TTTATACGAAAACGCCCCCACCAGTGTTAGTGGTGCTGATAAGAGCAGACACCACTAGCACCTGGGGAGTGGCTCCATCTATTGGTGGGGAGCATCACCTGCTAGAAAACGAGTCCAGTGTCCCAATACAAACTGAATTTGGAGCATATCAAAACAGGATTGTGGGAGGTTCCTGCCAGCATTGATTACCCTGGGATCCAGGGGATTGACTGACCAGGATATTGGAAAGAGGGGGGAGCCTCTTCACCCTGAACCCGGTGCCAGATACCTGCTGCTACACACTAGTTCCTCCCTCCCCTTACCATTAATTACTTTGGACTTCGAGGTAATAACTGAGCAGGAAATCATACAATTTAAAAGTATAATCATCCTCCATCCACAGTTGACCATTTTTAAGCACCTGCATACCAATGAGTCTCGACAATTGAGTTCGCTGGGGGCGGGAAAAGATCGCGGGAGTCTAAGAGAGGCCGCAATGGGATGGAGGGGTCAATTCTAGCCCAATCATGAAAGTTGAGGTAGTAGTGCCTTTCAAAAATTTTCCTATTCCCTCCCTCCCCTCCCTCCCCCCCTTTCCATTGCACATTCGTTATCCAACCCCCTTGTTCCCCTCTCAGCCAGTCCTTACAGAAGGATTGGATTTACATTTTGTTTTCTGCTCTTGAGTGTATAAAGGTTATTTTTTCCTTATTTTTCCCATTGCACCATGAGGTCTACCTGGATCTGGTGTTTGATTGTCTATATGATAGTTGGACCCTCAAGGCGGACTTCTTCCATCTCCCTAGTGCACCTTTTCCACCAGATTGCCCAAAAGATTGCTCTACGTCCCACAGTGAGCATGTTTCTCTCAAAGTTGCTCGCTTGTTTCGGCTGCCAGGTTTCACATAAAATTGGTTTTCAGTTTCACGGCCAAGGGGTTGCTACACCTAACAGGCACCACACTCTATTCCACCATCTCCATAACCAGACTGACCCAGGGTGTTGTAGAAGAGATGCGTTCAATTGTTTTTGGTCTCTGCCTGGCAGGGTATGACGTCGCACATAATTTGCAAAAGGGGAGAGCAAGGCCCTTCTATTTTAAAGATGTACGGTCAATTAGCCAGTCATTTGTGGGCAGACAACGGTGTTCCACTTGCCATTGTAGGGATGCAATTTTGACTGCTAATGTTTTACTAAGCCAAAACCATTTGATGAGATGTAGGGAGTTCCTTTCTAGATTCAGGTGTCTCATCCAACTTCCCGTTACCACATCTTTTAGATTCACCGCTAGACGCAGTAGGCGGTAGGCTCCCTTAATTGTCATTGAATAAATCTGTTGTTTTCCTGTCTTGCCTCTGCCTAGCTGGGTGGTCCAGACCCAAGAGGCCGGATCGAGGGCTAGATGTGCAATTGAGGTATTAGGTATGTACACCCACCACTGTTCTCCTTCTGTTACCACCCTAATTCGAAAGACTTCCTCTTTTTTAAGCCACCTTGTCTCTTCCGGATTTGTCTTAACCAATCTGTTTCTGCTCTTGATCTGAAAGAGATTCACCAGCACCTCTCCATCCGGGCGGCCGAACACCACCACATTTCCCACCCGATCTACACACCCTCTGATCCCTACCCAATCACTTTCGTCCAGGGTTCGCCCTTTCTTCATAATCCTTACCCAGTCCAATGGTATTGAGAAAATATTTTTTTCAAGAGTTTCTTCAATATTATGACAATATCGCAGTCGCTCCCTTAACTGCTGGTTGAATCTCGTGCGAGTTGTTGCAACACCATTCCTGCTCCTTTCGAGGGCGGACTTTAGGGTTGAGTGGAACGAAACGTGACTCATGTATTTTTTAATCACGATTGAAACTCGAGTGCGCACTAGAATAGACTCGAAGGAGGTGTGGAACGAGGCCCATTAAAATAGACTTGAAGGTGGCGGGTGCTGTGTTGCACTAGAGTCGCCCTTCGGCCAGCTAAAAGAAGGAAAAAAAACAAGAAACCGAGGGGGGGACCGTACCACACTTGCAACTGCCTCACAGGGCTTGCTTGCATCCTTTTGAAGTGAGGCTCAAGTGTGGGCGGGGAGGTGATTTGAAAAATCCTCCGATTTGCCTCGGCCGCACTTGACTTGACCCGCACTTGACTTTTAACGGCCAGTTGCTAATCCGGAACCCTAATCAAGATGGGAACATGATTAGCCTAACTTTACATGAGTTTCGAGTGGTGTGGAATGAGGCCCTTTGTTCTTTGAGACATGACATCTCGACACCAAAAAAATTGCGCCTTGTGGAAATTTGGTTGTCACCTGCCTCGCTCCACTACTCTCGACATGCACAAAAGACAAAAATCATAGTGTATCTTTCCATGTTCTAGCGGAAGATTCACTCTCGTTTTGCACATTTCGAGAGTGTTGGAGCGAGGCCCCTACTCCGAAAATTCCACGCTCGCTTCGGGCCTACCAGACCACATGGGCCCCAGCCAACAAAGGAAAAAGTGCGCCCCTTGTTGTTCGAAAAGCTTGGCGCGCAGTTGAAGGAGAAAAAGGTTGCAACGTGGCGATTGAACAATTCTTGTTATCTGGGCAGTGGCCCCATCAGCAATGGGGTAGGGATATATATATACATTTTATGTGGCAGTAGATCGACCCAAATCTGCCGTCGATGACTCATGATCCCTCGGTCAGTGTTTTACACGTATTACCTGAAAAAAGGAAAGTGTAATTACCTGCAAAATCACACACTGAGATCTATGGGTTTTGCTGTTGAGCTGAGATTCCCGCTTTCTGCTGAGATTTCTAAGTTTGTCTGTGTGCGTGCTTGCTGGTCCGCATGTGTCTGCCTGAGTGCATGACTGCTCGAGTGTGTGTGTGACCCGCCAGGGTTCTTGTATGTTTGGGAGGCCCTCAGGGCTACGTACCTGTGGCCGTGACTTTGAGGGTTGCAGTGGGGAAAACACTCAAGTAGAATAGGCTAATAGCACTCAAGTAGTGGTAGTGTAGGGCCGTGTAGCTTAGGGTAGCACCTAAGTAGTGGTAGGCCGACAAAAGAAGACAAAAAGTTAGTAACTTTAAAGACCGTGTGAATTCAGGAAGGGTTGTCACCCATTGCTTTGATACTCCCTGCTTTGCCTTGCTGTTTGCGTTGACCATCTTAAATTTAATATATATATATATATATATATATATATCACCTCCCTGGGTTGCCACCCACAGCAAGGGTTGAAGTAGACTATCACTCAAAGCATCAATAAGGGGATTTTGCGGATCGTCAAGGGCTCAGCCCCCTGAGCCCCCTGAGGAGTCAGTGAGACCCAGACCAACAATCTGTCATGGCCCCTTGTGGCCTTGAGTTGTTGTTATGGTCCACCATATTGTCTGGATGTTCAAGTTTGCACCATGAGGTCACCTTGGTCTTATCTCCTCACTGCTTGTAGTAGTTTACCAATTACGTTCACCATTGCCCTTGCACATTGTGTTCCTGGATGACCACATGTCGTGATCTGCTTTCCTTAGTATTGAGCCACCAATTTGCATGGACGTGATATCCAACATGTTTTGTTTTTTTATTTACATTTGGACCATTTCTCGATTTATGTGTGCAATCCTTCCGCAGGGGTCATGCTAATCTTCTCTGTGTCGTTCCAATTTTAACGGATGTCCCAAAGGACGTGTGTGTGTTTTCTAAAAGACCCCAGACTCTCTCTCTCTCTCTCTCTCTCTCTCTCTCTCTCTCTCTCTCTCTCTCTCTCTCTCTCTCTCTCCCCACAAATTGACGCAAGCCATCCATAAGACAAGCAAAAGAAGCGTAGAGGCAGCACATTGATGGTTCCATATACCATCCGTGACCTCAATCTCTGTTTGAAACGAATTCTAATGTCTTGAGTTAAGGTGGAACATGTGGCGTGTTTCAGGTTCTTTCTTTTTGCTCCCTGCATGTGGCTTTTTGTCAGCCTGCATGCAACCGTGTCGATTTGCTTACGGTCTCGCTCCATTGTACTCACCACTTGCACAAAAGACAAAAACGTTCCACAATGTATCCTGCTATATTCACGCCGAAGATTCATTCCTCACAACATTCTAGGATGGTCCATCATCATCATCATCATCATCATCATCATCATTATCGACATCACCATCATCATCGCTATCATCATTATCATCATCATCATCATCAGTTTGTAATCATAGGGGCTATTGGTGTTGCTCTTTGGTATGATCATCATCATCATCCGTTTTCATTCTCATCATTATCATCATCATCATCATCAGCTTGTTTTCATTAGATGTTGCTCTGCATCAGCAGGTGAGTTGGTTGTCACCATCATTCTCATTATCATCGTCTTCAGGGTGCTGTCCATCGTCATCAACAAAATCCAAAGCGAATGATATTTTGGTAAGTGTGTCATCAATAACTGTAGTCGGCTGGATCGGATTGTTCCCGGAGGGCTGAACGGTGGGAAGGGGGTGGGGGGAGCTCTATCCTGCAAGGGCATCGCAAGGTGGGGGGTGAATGTCTCAAAGAGGGTAGGGGCGGAGTAGGGGGTTGCCTTATTCTGGGGCAAGGACTGTGTGTGGGTCAACATCAGTCCCTGCGGAGGCGGAAATGGGCAAGGGGCGGGGGGGCATGTTTTAGGTGGGAACTGCGTGCTCCTGGGGAAAGGGTGGGAGAGGATTGGTCCTATATTGGGGCCGAGGGAGAGTGGGTGACTCGCCTCGGCGGAGGCCGTGTAGGGATGAGGGGGGAGGGGTAGGGGGAGGGAGGGGCGATCTCTCTCGAAGAATTCTAACATCCAGTTTAGTATTTCTTTCCATTTGGTTTGCCTCTCGAGGAGGTCGTAGGAATAGGTGCTATCTGGCAGGTCATCTGTGATCCTGCAAAGGGTGGTTGAAAATTCGGTGGCCCTCGGAGACCGATGCTGGAGCAACGCTGGCCGGAGCCGGAGCCAGGTGGCGCAACTCTGTGACCTAGCTTAGTGGGGGCGTGAGGCCTGGTAGAGAGATCTGGGGGGCTATTTGTGGGGGCAGTGTCAGTGGTCATCCGGGGTCGTAACTGGAGCAATGCTGGCCGGTGCTGGAGCAAGGTGGTGCAACTCTTGTCTCATTTTCTAAACACTTTTTCCACGAAATAGCAGCACTCAATCTATGCCACCTGTTTTCTTTTTCAGCCTTTTTTTGGTTATTTATTCTGAGCTGAAAAGATCACCAAGTTGACGCAGTCCACGTCTTGCAACAACTGGGCAACCTCCTGTGGCCAAGCCTATCGGCCCACCTTGCCGCGGGCACCCGACGGTGTTTTTTAAACCTCGGAGGCGGTGGTGAAATAGATACTAGATAGTTCCACTCCTCTAAATTTGTTCATAAATTTCATAATATGTATGATTTTCTTATTTTTCATGGGATGCAGACGTATCGAATGAGCAGTCAATTCTGTCATTATAACTCATTCTGGTCTGTGTTTTCCCCCAAGAATGCAAGGAAACCTGGGCTACCAACCAGGCCGCCTGGGTCACCTTGGATACCCAGGTGGCCCATCCGGGAAAGAGCCAGGAAGGGCCCAGGTCACATGGGATGCACAGGCGGCCCCCCCCCCCTTCCAAAAAAAAAAAAAAAAAAAAAAAAAAACCCTGAAAATCTAGGCTACCAGAGTGGCCTGAGACCAATTGCCCAACCAGGCCAGAAAAATAAATAAATAAATAAAATTATTATGTCGGGATAATTTTCAAAATACCCTCATAAGTTGAGAATCTTGAGATACATGCCAAAATGCCCCTGAAAGATGTGAGTAGAGCGGAATGCCCTTTTGGGCCGACATCTTTGTATTGTGCCCCTGTCAGGCGGGTGTGCAACTTTGCAATCTGGACCTCCCCCTTTGGGCCTTGACCTTTTGCAATAGTGCCTAGGAGAAGTTGGCAAGTACTGGGGCATTTGGCAAAGTTGGACGGTACCGACGGCAGGGGTATTTCACAAAATATTTTCTTTGTCAGAGGGGCATTCCACTCTACCCACATCTTTTAGGGGCATTTTGGCATATATCTATATCTCAACTTACGGGGGTATTTTTGCAAATTCTCCCTTTTTATATCTCCTTTCAAAGTTTTGATACATACCTTGAGAACTATTGTAACATTGGGCCTTGCTCCACTACTCACACCACATGTGCGAAATGAGAATGAATCTTCCACAAGAACATGGAAAGATACCCCGTGCAAATAATATGCGTCCTGGTCTCTACCTTGATCAACAAAATGGATTCAAAGTTTCATACATGATACATCGTTCATCATAATTTTATATTATAATATAATCTTATATTCTGCAATGTCACATAAACCGCAATGGCAGATAAGAAAAGAAAGAATGCATTAAGCAGAACGGAGAAGAGGAGGGGGGGGGGGGAGTTCATAAATGAGTTGCTAAAAAACATGATGCTCAAAAACAAAGTGTTAAAAAACAAAGGACACTGAGACAGACAAACAGACACTGACAATTGGGAGGCGGTGGGAATAATCCTGGAGAACTGGGGGGTAGCCACTCTATAGGGGAGAGTCTCGCTACCCGACCAAATACGAAAGGAAAGTATAAAACCAAATGGATGGTACCGAGTGGAAGGGCCGTCAATGCTCAACAGACGAAATTTACTCTAGGAATAACAGGCTGATCTTCCCCAAGAGTTCACACCGACGGAAAGGTTTTGGCGCCCATCAAATCGGGGCAAACGTCAAAATCAAATGACGACTCAAACGAAGTCTATTCTGCCAAACACTACACTCTGATTGGTTATTGGACGAAACGGACGAGTGGATGGCTGACCAGAGTTAAGTTGATTAGAGTTAGTTACAGTTACCTAGAGTCAGATACCATCAAGTCGTGAGTTAGTTCCCGTCAACTAGAGTTACCTAGCTACAGTCAACTAGAGTTACCCAGCTACAGTCAACTAGAGTTACCAAGCTACAGTCAACTAGAGTTACTTAGCTACAGTCAACTGAGTTACTTAGGTACAGTCAACTGAGTTACTAAGCTGCAGTCAACTGAAGTTACTTAGCTACAGTCAACTGAGTTACTTAGCTGCAGTCAACTGAGTTACTTAGCTACAGTCAACCGAAGTTACTTAGCTACAGTCAACTAGAGTTAACAACTTACTGTCAACTAGAGTAAGTTAGTTAGTTACAGTCAACTACAGGTAGTTAAAGTCAGCTACAAGCTAGTTACCATCATTAGTTACAACTTACAAGCTAGTTAACTAGTTACTGTCATTAGTTACACAAGTTAGTTAGCCAGTTACTGTCAACTACAGTTACAGTCAACCTCATTAGTTACAGTCAGCTACAAACTAGTTAGCTATGCTCCCCAGAATGGAAAAGGAGCCAGGCCCATAAGGACCTGTTTGTTGAAAGAAAAACAAACAAACAAAAAAACAAAACAAAACAGACAAACTAGTTAGCTAGTTACAGTCAACTACAGTTAGTTAAAGTCAGCTACAAGTTAGTTAGTTACAGTCAATGAGAGAGTTACCATTGTCATCTCTGCTTCGGTGGGAGGAAAAGCTCACGTAAATTCACATACACTGCTCGGGGGGGAAAAAAAGTTGGAAAATAAAATGCTGTGAAGAAAATAGCGCAGTAAACTACAGCTGTCCCCCGTGTATGAGGAGAAGGCAGTTGTATTAAAAAAAAAAAAAAAAAAAAAAAAGAGGAGATGCGACGATCACTGCTTGACGGCGTTCGTTTTGGTTTGATCAATCGCGATACTTGATATCCCTCTCTCTCCCCGCTATCGACTATTGCGAGTCGTCGTGCACCGCAAAGTCTTTCTGGACCTCATTCAGCGTCCATTCGCTCTGCTTCAGCCTCTGCAATAAACACAAATGCAACCCCCACCGCCCCCAACCGGCACCACCGCCAGCGGCCCCCCGTTGCCCCCCCCCCCCCCCCCCCCCCCCCCCCAACCGAACCCAAAAAAACAAACAAACAAAAGAAGGAGCGAAGCCGGGTCACACAAACTCAACCCAGGCTACTCCAAAGGTGTTCATTAAGTGAGGGAGAGAGGCAACACAAGCAAAGATCACCACAGAAAACGACAAACAGGTTTAATCCAGATACTCAGAACGACGGTCTGTGGTCCATCGGACTCAACATGATTAAAAAAAAAAAGAAAAAGAACGACGGATCAAAGTAAGAATAGCAAATTGCAAAAAAAAAAAAAAAAAAAGAAAAGAATAGCAAATGGCAGTACAACACAGCCTCCTGGTGCATCAAATTACATGTGAGACTGTGTGACTATGTGTGTCAAATTGAGTGTGAGACTGTGTGACCGATGTGTGTCATAAAAGACGAGGAACAGTTGAACGACACAGGCAACACTCAATTGCAGCTGAGAAGAATGTTGAAGGCTTGAAGCTAAACTATGAGGGATCTAGAACCAGGCCAGGGCCCAGGACCAGGAACAGCAAAAAAAAGAAAAGAACAAAGCCAGTCGGAGAGGAAGAGGATATGGGAAATTGTGGGTCGGCTGAACGTGATCTCAGCTGTCGGATGTGATAGGCAGCAAAGATTGAACGAGATGTAGACCCGATGCTACGTACCGCTGTCAGATCTCTGTATCTGCTCGCAATCTCGTCAAAGTGAGGGTCGACTCCCTCAAACTCCCTTAGACGCGTTGTCTGCCACACACAGTGATGTACAAGACCGACTTTTAACTCGCTGCAATGAACTTGAATGAAGTGATCATGTTCTTTTTTATTTTCTTTCCTTTCCTTCTTCATGTTTATGGATCAAACAATCGTTGTTTTTTTTTTTTTTTTTTTTTTTTTTTAACAACAGAACAGACAAAACTTTTGTAAGGAATATGAGCGAGAGCAATAGACAGAAACCCAAGTTGCAAAATCAAGAAGTACCAAGCACAATGCACCAAGATTCCATCCGCAAAAGAGCAATACATTGAACTCAAAGTGCCAATGCCGACACTCCTCGTCACATCAACACTGTATCCAATGTCACTCCTACTGTCAGGTGCTCAGCGCCCAGCCAACTCTACTCAGCCTATCTAGCCTATCTACGTTCAGGCGACTGGATCACACCGAAGTCGAAGACCAATGTACGTGACGTCAACACCAATGCCGATCACCAGCATACACCGGGTACGTTCTCTCTCCTCCCCTGATCACCCCTTGATCACCTCCTCATGCACCTCCTACCCGAAGACCGCCATCGTCATCACCTGCACTGCGCCCCTGCAACCCAGCTATGGTTGCTGTGCGCCCCCTGCCACGCAGCGCCCCTCTCACCTCAGCACCCGTGCGCGCGCCCGCCCCGCAGCGCCCATGCAGACACTAGTGCAGCAACGCAGCAGTGTGTCCGCATTGCCTGCCAAGGCCAGAGACTGCACCTCTCGGTGGCTCACACTTTCCTTTATGAAAAGTGTGTCGCTGCTGGCTGTCCTGGCCAGGCGTGTTGAGGGGCCCAGTAGCTTCAGTTGGGCCCCAAGTGTCTGCGCCCAGGCCCTGTTTCCGAAACTGGACTGGGCCTCGTGCAGTTAGGCACGTCCAGGCAGACACCCAGCCTCCAAGTGTTTGCAGCATTCTTATTGGCTCACGGCACATGCGTGACGACAATGCTGCTTGCTCATTGGCCCGTAACCAGTCCGTGATGTGTCGGCCTCACACGGCGTGTGCCCAGCACGCAACCGCCTGGGCCCTGGGCTCAACTGTACAGCGCAGCACTTTGCTTCTGGAAAGAGCCTGGAGGCTCACGTTGCTGTGTAACCAACTGGCGTGCTGCAACTGTCTGAGTTCCCACATATGGAAAAAAGAATTGTCGAGAACGAGCCTCACGTGGATATTCAGGCCCGCCTTCACTTAGGGCGGGCACGAGGCTTGCTGGGGACCCCCACATTCCAGAACACTTGTATGTCTGATCAGGGCTCCGTGAGGCTCAATCCTCAACACTTCAATCTTCCTTGATCATAACTCCACATGCTGATCATTATGCAAGGAAAATGAGTGATAGCGAACTCCAGAAATCAAACAGCATCAGACACATAAGACCACATAGTTGTGACCTCGAACCAATAGCGGAATTGCATCACGAGTTTCACCAAATAAGAGCACAGCAAAAGCTCATAATTGACAATGCTGGAATAGTCTCGTCATCATCAACAAAGAACCAATGTCGATATCCTATCTGGCGCTCGGCGCCCAGACTACAGATGGTAGATCCTATCTAGCCTATCTACAATGCCGCTGATGACGTCAACAGCTCCCTGAAGAACGAGCAGATCTCGGCCAATGCCGTTCGCCTCAAGCACCAGGTATGTCTCTCGTATCACTCACAACCTCGATCCCCAACTCACAGATGCCACATGCACCCAAGGACCGCCATGCGCCCCATCCAGCATACAGCAGCACAGCTTGGCTATGGCTGCCTGCTCCTTCCAGCTCGCCCGTGAGCGTGTGACCACTGGCCAGCGTTAGCGCAGCAGCGCTTGCGCATCATGCAGCCAGTGCCCGAATGTCCAATACGTGGGCAGGCCCTTCCCTATATCGAAGTGGCCTGCCTGCTTGCGTGCAGCCTGGCTGCGCTGGGCCCCTGCCCAGAAGCTTCCGGTAGGCCCACGGAGGCTGAGCCTCAGTCCAAAGGAAACAGGCCCAGGGCCTGTGGTGGTTACTAGCGCCCAACTGCCCTCAGCCTTTGTTTGGTCCATATTGTGTATCCGGCCCAGGGCCTGCCTCAGTTACATACGATGAAAGGCATCCTGGGCCTGGGTGCTTCCAATCAACTGGCGCTGCGCAACTGCCTGAATTTTCCCCAGTTGCGTAGTAGTGCAAAATAGGCCTCAGTCGGGCCTGCGTTCACTTAGGGCGGCCGACCTTGCAGATAACAGGGCCCAGTGGGGCTTATTGAGGCCTTGTGCCTCGCAATTACTTCTTTTTTGACAAAAAAAAAGTTGAAATGATTTCAGCTTTTTTGTGACGGAAAAAACAAAAAAAATCGTTACTTTGCATGGACAGTCAATTGCAATTTAAATTATTAATCAAAATCAGGCATTTAATTCGCATGGACAGTCAGTCGATTCACGCAACCAATAATGAATTGCACTGCACTTCTTTTTTTCTTTTTTTTTTTTTTTTTTGCCTTGCACGATTTGCAACGTGGTGCAATTTCAAATTTGGAATTTTGAACATGTATTAACTTGAAAATTTGACAGGAAAAAAAAACAACAACTCTTCAATCAACTTAAGTCAAACTAAGTCAACTTAAATAAAGTCTTATTTCTTAAACCAACTTTAGCAAACTGAAAATTCTGCGACGGGCGTCCCTATTGCCAATGCTGCGCTCGAGGTTTTAGAACCAAAGACGTGCCTCACATTCTGCTTACTCGCAGTCTCATTCAGTTGACCTTTATTTTGTTTTTGTTCATTTGACAGCATCTGGATTTGAGCTCGGGTCAGGTCTTCATTTCAACAGTTACTGGGTGTACCGACTGAGCTACGCTCTTTGGTAGAATACCCAACTCAAATCGACAGACAACATCTGCATTCGAGCTTGGGTCTGCATTTCAACAGTTAGTGGGTGTATCGACTGAGCCATGCTCCTTGGTCTTGTAGTCGACTTTTGTGTAAAGAGAACCCCTTTTGCAGTCCCTCTTCCTAAAGAAAACCTTTTTTTTTTTTCCCCCTTCTCCTTCTTCTTCTTCTTCCTCTTCTTCTTCTTCTTTTTTGAACCCTTTTGGAATTGGTTGTGGTTCTTTTCGATTATGCGGGTTTTTCTCATCGAACTTTATGTCGTTTTCAAGGACTTCCGTCCGCGGTCGTGAATGAATGTTGCGATTGCCTGAGTGTGTTTTTGCTTTTCTCCCACTCTCTTTGTTCGAGTTTGGAACGATGAAGTAATCAAGTTTGGCTCTCTCTTGCCTGCAATGGTAGAACACAAGAGCTACGTCTTACAGGCTACACGAGGTGCGTTGTTATGGACTCTTTGAAAGGCCAGGAATGCGAATATCTGGCGGCAAGAGACTCTACCCACCTTGCGCTCTTGAAGGCCCCTTCAAGAGCATCGTCACACTCTTAGGCAAGTGGTCTTAGAGAGACGGGGAGAGAAAGGTTGCACGAGCCTGGGCTATCGGGCTTGCAAGAACTCCAAAAGGGTTGGACGGTCTGTAGTCTCTCGCCACTTGCCTGAGAACCACTTCTAAGTTCCAGCCCTTGGATCCACGCTGCGTTGGGCTGCCTATCCACTTGCAAGACCACTTGAGAGAAGTTGAGACCCTTCGGTCGTGAGGGCCCGGGCCCGGGCCCGCAATCTAAGGGTTTCATGTGGTTCTTGCAGCGTTAGGCTGCTCATCCTAAAAAAATGGCTGTGGCTGAAAAAGAGCTACCGGTTGCCTTGTGTTTTTTTTTTTAAAGTTACTCGTAGGTCTTAGTGTACCCTGCTTCTTGGGGTGTGTCAGGGCCTTTCGGCATTCTTTTTTTTTTTTTTTTTAATTCAAAAGAAAAGATTATGTTATGCAGAATTGGATGGCCTTTCAACAGAATGTATGTTGCTTACGGGGACATGGCTCCGGGCTCATCCTTGAAGCAGGATAACCGGGCCGTCCCTTTGTCTTTTTGGATGATGTATCCGCCTGGGGCACTGGGCCCCGATAATAAACTTGAATAAAGGACGTCTTCTGCTTAAACCACTAGTACCTTTCCTGCTGGGAAAATAGGGAAAACTGGCTACTCCTGAAAATTCGGAGGCCGGGCCCGACGACAAACGAAACGACAGCTGCCGATCAGATTTATCAATGGCAGTCGTTTCGTTTGTCGTCGGGCCCGGCCTCCAAATTTTCAGGAGTAGCCAGTTTTCCCTATTTTCCCACACGGGAAAGGTTAAAAAAGAAAAAAGAAAAAAGAAAAAAAAAAAGTTAAGAAAACACTAAACTGAAATGCAGCACAAACCCAGGCTGATCAGAGTGTGCGACTACTGCCTGTGTGGCAGATGCCTTGTGTGGTGTTGCGTGTTGTTTTAAAAGACCCCAGATTCTCTCTCTCATTCCCTTCACAAATCACCACAAGCCATCCATAACGAAAAAGTTTACATAGGCAATATAATAGAAAAAGCAAGGTTGGCCACGTTTGTGTGGTTCAGCGCCAAGTGCCCCCACACCCGTGTGTGTGTGTGTGTGTGTGTGTGTGTGCGCGTGTGTGTGTGTGTGTGTGTGTGTGTGTGTGTGTGAGTTGGAAGGACCCACGACTGGCATGGACCCACTTCTGTACTCGGCTCTTGAGGGTGAGGGCGCCGGTTCGAATCCGTGCACGCACGGAGCAGGTCCTGTGGCTGATAAAGCACAGACTGATCATAATTGCATAAAGAGTTAAGACTTCAAAACCACAATGGGTTTGTAACTGTGTGCTGTTAATTGAACTTAATTCTGTGTTAAATTAAACCACAATGCGTGAACCTTGGGTGAAAATGCCGGTGAGGGGGCTCACCAGAAGATCTGCTTTCAGTTAAATTAAATTAAATTAAACCAGGTGAGCCCCCTCTTAACTTCTTCGGGTCTTGTTATTTCATTATCAATACTAAAAAAATTCGGAATCGAAATGATTGAAATCTTTAAAAGAAAAGAAAAGAAAAGAAAAAAGAAATTATTCAGTAAATTACTAAATAGTAAATTACTAATTACAAAACATTAGAAAAAACTTACCGCTGCGCACCGTTAAAATTGGAACGATACAGAGAAGATTAGCATGGCCCCTGCGCAAGGATGACACGCATAAATCGAGAAATGGTCCAAATTAAAAAAAAAAAAGAAAAAAGAAAAAGAAAAAACTTACCGCTCTGTTGTACGCTGTTGTGGCTTCCTCGATTGCCTGCTGCAAATGACCACTGCCATTGAAATAGAAAGAAATAATAGAAAAGAAAAAAAACCATCCAAGCACAAATGCATGTTATTTGAATGTTCAAAGTTCAAACGTTTTTTACTTTTTTTTCCTTTTTGGGTGATGATATTAATTAATTGTATTACGATCATAACATAATAAAGTAAAACAAGAATAAAAAAGGAGCAAAGAAGTTGAAAGAACCAACAAGTGACATCAGAAAACCTTCGAGATGCAAGAGCTCATCGAAGACCAAACATGAGTTAAAAAAAAAGAGCAATTTTTTACAAATGTAACCAAGAGATGAAAGCAGAATGACAAAGCTGAGGAGAGGACACCTAAGAGTGAATTCACTGAGCCCTGGAGGCTCTTTGGTAATGAAATCCTTCTTTGCACTCCAACAATCAACACAACAACAGAGCAGTAGCGCTAAGCTATGATGTGTCCACCCATACATACTACTCCCCTACCCTACCCTACCCTACACACTCAGCCTACTACCTCTCACTTTCTCTCCCTCCACCCTCCGCTCTTGACATGCCACTGACGCGCCTGACGACAGAGGCCCTCCTCCGCGAATGCCATCAGGCGAGTATCCACCAGTTCCCACTGCGGCTCTTCTCTCCCGACCTACCCCGACATCCCTTCACCTCTTCCTTGCGCAGCACAGCCAACCCGCTACAGCGTGCGCTTGCCAGGCTGCTACCGCAAGTGCGCTCACAGCAGGAAGGGAAACACAGCTACGGTGGGCTGCTAACGCAAGCAGCCTCCCCCCCTTCCCGCCACACGATACTTCAGTGCTACTAGTAGCTACCGCAAGCAGCCTCCCCCCTTCCCTGCTACTCCAAGCGCTCGCACAGTGTGCTCTGCTGCATGGTACTGCCCACTGCCCAAACTGCTTATGGCCCGGCCTCCCTTCCTTTTGTCTCTGTACACGACGGGTTGTGCACCCTCCGGTAGGCCGTTTCGACAGGCGTGGGTCCCGACTGAGACAGGCGGACCGGCTGGTTACCCAAACCCAGTGTTTCCTCAGGTCCAACCTTCACTTCGGGCGGGCCTGCATTTGCATAGGTGGCCTTTTCTAAGGCCCGTGGAGGCCTGGAGCCTCACAATAGTAGCCATTAGTTGCCCATAACAACATAAATAAAATTGTAATCTATGAGTCATAATAGAACTAAAATATGGAATGAAAGAGAGCACACATACGTAAAGGCGGGGCCAAGCTCCACCTTTATCATTCGTGCCATGCTCCACCTCGCGGTAAAGAACTAGAAGGTGTACCTCAACGATTGGGACGGTGGCATTCCAACAAAGTCTTGCGCCCTTTTCCCAGAAAAAGTTGCGCCAGAATGGCAACAATTTCACCTAAGATGACGGGTGTGAACAAGGAAGCTTCTAGCGATAGAACTCGCCTATGGAACCGACAAAAGAATACCAAAAGGCGGTTCCGGAAGTCCCAGGAAGTATATAAGCTTAAGCAGTAAGGACTCAGGAGTTTTAGCCGCCTCTCGGGTCCCAAGAACTGAGTTACGCTCTGGCAACTGGGCCTTGCCAGCGCTATATATAGTCAAACAGAGCTGCTCGATGCTTCATTGTTCTTCATTGTGTTATTTTTGTTACGGAGCTTTCATCAAGACAAGCCTGCTTACACTGGCAGCACTAGCACTGCAGGAGGTGTTGAAATTTAAAAAAAAAAAAAGAAAAAAAAAAGACAAGATTCTCGGAAACAATGAGCACTCTTTGCGTTCGCGTGGCTGATGCCGTATGTTCATGCTCCAGCTTTTTTGTTTTTTTTTGGGTGGAATATGCGGGTGAAGATCAAGTGCTGCTTTTTTCACGAGAAGAGTGAACGAGCAACGCGGTGGAAAAAAGCTGCCTGCTTCGTCAATAACGTAGCAGGCAGTCCCAAGGCCCAGGGCCCAGAGAGTCCCAAGTCATTGACTCAAAGCCCTGGCAAGGTAGCAGAAGAGAGAGGCTCAAACTCGCACATGGTGCACAGGTTGGCTTGGGACTCTTTGGGCCCTGGCCTTTTCAATCACTAATGTCCCAGTGAAGCTCTTCTACAATATAATATATATACTGCATTATTTTCAACATTTTATTATATTTCCGGAAAAAAAAGTTTTTTTCTTGGACGACACAGGAAAGTTTCATAACCAGCCAGAGGCGTAGCACCTTGTTCCACCACTTCCCAATTATGAATACGGCAAATGTATTTTGTGGCGGATTCTTGCCACGTTCATTGTTTGCAAGACACATTTGCCATTTTCAGGTATGGTGAGTGGTGGAACGAGGCCGATGGGGTCGAAAGCAGAGACACGTAATGTGAGCTTTTGAAACATTGCTAGCCCCCCAAATTTTCATACCACTACTACTGTTTAGCAGTATTTAGGGCACACTCGCACTAGGCCCTCAAAAACGCAAAATCCCAAAATGACCGCCCAGGTCTAGTCCTTCCTTTACAAGGACTCAATCTGGCAGCTCATTTTGTGCTTTTGCGAGTTCAGGGGCCTAGTGTGAGTATGCTCTTAGTATATAGTATATACTATACAGTAGTTTTGCTGCTTTCTTTTTTATTTTCTTGTTTTTGTTTTGAGAAAAAGGGCATCCGCCTTGCAATAGCACGTCGAACTGATCAGCCCCAGTAAATAGTATTTTCCTGTTTAGTATTTACTGAATTTTACTTTGTTAAAATTCTCCTCCCACTTTCTTAGCCAGATACGGTACAGAAATAATAATATACCAAAATAACTTTAAATAAAATGGAGAATGGACATTGAAATTCCATATACAGCTTGAGTGTTCTTCTGAAGGGCCCGGACACCCGACTTGTGCCTGGAAACATCCCCCGGTGCCTGGCCAGGCATAACCCCTGGGCGGGGTTCAGGGAAGCCCCAGCGCATCAAAAAAAAAAAAAAAAAAAAAAAAGGGTTGCCCGCGTCCGGCCAGGGCCGAACAAGACGGCTCAAATGGGCGAATGTTCAGGACCCCCCTGGCCGACGTTCCGGCAAACGCCACGCCGGACTCTTTTTATTTTTTATTTTTTATTTTTAAGTCTTTTTTTTTCCCGAAATTCATTGCGGAGCTCCTGCTCTATATAGATGTATATTTAGATTAAAAAAAATAAAAAATTGGGGGGGTAAAGTTCCAGGTAAACTCGTTGCCCGCCGAACGACTAGCGCGCCCCCCACCAGGTGTGTGTGCGTGTGTGCAAGGGGGGGGCGACCCCCCCGCAACCGACCAACCAACCAACCAATCAACCAATCCATCCATCCATCAATCAATCAATCAATCGTCAAAAAAAAAAAAAAAACTCAAAAGAAAAGAAATGCGCGAAAGCGCACGGTGTGTATGTGTGAGTGTGTGTATGTGTGCGTGCGTGCACGGGGGAGGGACCCCCCCCCCAACCAACCAACCAACCAATCAATCAATCAATCAAAATATAAAAAAGTAAATTAAAAAAACGGAAACATAACATTCTATGATTGATTGATTGATTGATCGTGGGGTGCTCGCAGCGGGGGCGGCGACCCCAAACCAACCAACCAATCAATCAATCAATCAATCAATCAATCAATCAACTAATCAATCAAAAGTATGGGAGGGGGTTGCAAAATTTTCAACCCCACTATCTTCTACGAATGTCCCGGCAAACGCCACGCTGGTCAACAGAATACTACGAAATTCTAGAGGTAGGTGCGCTAGCTCATGCTTTATCTACACAAAAAACAAAAATCAATTTTTTTTTTTTTAGGGCCCAATATGGGGTTTGGCGAGCCCCAACTCACTGGTCAGGAGGGCCCGAACCCCCAACGCCCCTGAATGTTCGCGCCCCCCCCCCCCCCCCCCCCCCCCCCCCCCCCCCCCCCCCCCCCCCCCCCCCCCCCCCCCCCCCCCGAACATCGGGCGCGTAACACTCGTGTACAATCGCAATGCAAACGACTTTTGGCTGAGGGTCGCATCAGACTTCCTAATTCAATCGAAGATAAACAAGAAAATAACAGAATCAGACCCCCCAGACGACTTGCTCGGATGCCCGGCCTGGTCTCCATGTCCGGGGAGCCCAAGTAGCCTAGATATACTGATAATGTATTACACTCCACACCGTCTGTTCCCAATTTCCCCGGGTTGTTAAAGAAAATACAATTTATTAAATTTAACAACTTCAAAATTCAAATAATTGAACTGAACTTATTGTGAAATTCCCAATGAACAATCCTAGCATGCAAACAGCTGCACTCATGCCAGTTCCATTTTTTTTTTTTGGACTCAATTAAAGTCAATTTTCTATTTTGTGAAATTCAAACAACAAATGTCAACGCATGTCCTATCAACGCCTGTGTCAAAAGACTTCAGCTGCACGACATATGGCATTCAGTGTCACTCACACAAGCTTCCCAAAATAGTATAGCATTTCTATGGCACTCTTACAGGCCTCCTTGTCCACCATTCATATTAAGGAAAAAAAAAGAAGAAAGAAAACCATGCCAATACCTGGACAAATCATCAAACTCCTCCGAAACCTCATTAGGCTCCACCTTCTGAAAGCTTTGCCGCTTTTCAACAAGCCGCGCATACCATTGATGCTTTTTATTTAACATAAAGATTCATCCATAATGTCTTGAACCACGAAGAAAAGAAGAAACAAATGCACCACAAAGAGTTTCAGAAAACCTATCTATCTAAACTTTGGGGGGGGAGGGGGGAGGGTACCAGAACATTGAATGATCATTAGTGATATGATTATTGATATACTCTAAAAATTTCTGAATATGATGCTACTTACCGAATGACCTGAAGTGCAGCCACTGTCTCTGGGGTATAGGTGTCCTTCAAGACCAACGATTCAAAAACCCTGATTTACCCAATACACACACACACACACAGGGGGAGAGAGAGAGAGAGAGAGAGAGAGAGAGAGAGAGAGAGAGAGAGAGAGAGAGAGAGAGAGANAGAGAGAGAGAGAGAGAGAGAGAGAGAGAGAGAGAGAGAGAGACTCGAACACGTGAGGATCATGTACTTTAGCAGGAGTGGCAGCAGTGATGCCCACTGTTCCTTGATTGCGTCGACTGTTCACTTGGTGTTTACTTAAACCAGCATGTAACCTTTACCCTCGATTAACCTCTCTCTCTCTCTCTCTCTCTCTCTCTCTCTCACACACACACACACACACACACACACACACACACACACACACACACACACACACACACACACACACAGCTTCCCATTTCTCCATTCTCGCCGAGTGTAAAGGGAGAGTCCTGTGTAGTATGTACCTTGTAAATAAATGGAGATTAGGAGGTGCGCAGAATGATGTAACAGTTTCCAACAAGTACTGACATCTTTGTAAGGGCACACTTCACTCGATGCATAAAGCAGAATTGTAGTCCAGGTTCATGAGACTGCACTCGACGTATAAAGCAGCATGACAAATTCCAAGGTCCATAAAAATCGGACATTCAATTCATGCCAATACAAACGACATCCAAGTGCACAGTAGAGTGCGACTCAGATAGCATTCAGCTCATGCATGACCCACCAAACCTCTACTCTAGACATGACGATACCCCACCGGCCCTTGCTGCCCGAGATAACATCCAGCCACCGTTGGTGACCGCTACCCCGTCTTCTCAGTCCCATAAACCTCGAACAAAAGTATGTCACAGACTGAGTACACACTCTCGTCCAGCCATCGTTGGAGAACCATCCACTTCTTTAAAAGTTTTCAAGATAGAAAATCATTCGACAGTAACAAGAGTTAAAAGCATCTTCAGCATGGAGATGCACATATGATCGCGCAATCTCGTTCATCACCAAGAACCTGTCGAATGATTTTCTATCTTGAAAACTTTTAAAGAAGTAACCGGCTCTCTTACCCGCTACACATACAGCCTGTTCCCAGCTGGCCTAGGACACCTCCCTTTCACGGAGGCAACGGGGATTCGACTTCCCCTGGGGGTACCCATGATATATCTCATTAAATTTCTATTGCATGGCATTTGGATCGACTCTCGAAAATAGATATGCTTTGAAGTAATCAATTTGCTAATTATATTACCTTTATTATTTATGTTATATTTATTGTTTTCAGCTGATACTGTCAATCAAATGCTCTAGGCTCACTCACTCTCACCTCAACTTTGAATGCATGGTACGGACACGACGGCACAGCCACTCTGTTTTGATCTTATCCTGCCAAGGAACAGAAGAAGAAAAAAGGCGCAACCAGACGTCAGGAGATGACGTGGCAACTCTGCGGACCTGCTCCAAAAGGTGCCAACAAACAAATGTCAGTCATTTGCCAGAATGACAGTTCATTACGACAAGTTGATGGAATCTCTATCTCTATCTTTATCTCTGTACAACTAAAGAGAAAAGTGGTCCTCACGTGACGCCTCCCGCGGAACCAGCAAAAACCCGAGCGGGAGTTGGTACCGACGGGGTGCACCGCTGTTGGGAAGAGACGCGATCTGAAAGTTTTGGTCCCCCCCCCCCCCCCCCCCCCCTTCCTCGCCTCATTTTGGCCACCGGCGCCATTTCATCCTTTTTTTGCCTGGGGTGGACTTCTTCTGGGTGACCCGTATCCACTTTTCTTCTAGGCGGCAGTTTTTTTATGCGCGTGTTGGAATACAAGTACATAGTACCCTTGCTTTGCTGTATGTTCGAATTTCTCGTGCAACACGTTTTTTAAGAGCCCGTGCGCCTGGATGGGGACAATACCTGACGTGTTCCCATACAAGTAAGTTTTAGGATGGGGACAATACCCGATGTGTTCCAATACGAGTCGATGTGTTCCAATACAAGTAAGTTTTCGACGTAGTGTGCCCATGGCGGCAAGTGGTTCTGGAAAAAAAAAAAAAAGTGTGCCCATGGCGGAATATTCAACATTGTGTGATATACTGAATACGACGCACCTTGGTACGATTGCGTACAAAACTATAATAAGTACAAAGTACTACAAACACATTGTAGAATGGTAGAATCTGATTAAAATTTTTAAGAATCTTTGAAATATCCAAGTTCAGGTTCATCCAGGCCAATTCAGCATGTGGTTTACCCGCTTGATCACAAAATTCAGATCTAATCAGGTTTTTTATTATATCGGAGATAGGTGCTTCCATTGTAATATCGTTTTTTCTAAGACTGACAAGTGTAGACTCTGTAGAGTATGTGCATGTGGATGGAAAAGAGACCCGATGCATGTGCCTTTTTTTTGTTTTGTTTTTGGTGTTCGAATACAAGTACATACTACATAGCCGTCCAGGTGCATGACCCGTTTTCCTTTTTGGTGGCTGTTTCCGGATGGAATGGAGCCCAGATGGATGTGTTTCTTTTTGTGTTTAATTACAAGTACATGGCATTCCAGGCACGCTACCCATTTTAGGGGCCCCATATAGAAGGAAAAAAAAAGTATACGATTTTTTTTTTTGGTGATTGGGCTAGGAATTTTCATATAGCACTCAGGCAAAAGTTTTTTGTATTGCAATTCTACATTTTATATATAGTAATATAACCATACATGTGCGCTTCGCCCGCAAATGCACCGCAAAGCGCACACGCATGGGTGGACATGGAGCGTACCCCTGAAAATAGGGGTCATCCAAATTTTTTTTAGGGGGCCGGGTGTGGTAGCAGGTGTCACCCCTCCTCTGCGAAAAATACAACAACACAACAGAAACAAAATTCAGGGTCACGTAACAGTGGGCTCCAAAAAAAATAAAAAATTGTTGTACGCGTTTCTGGTTTGGTATTCTGCAGCCTTACCTGGATGTGCACAACCTATGTTTCCCACCCGATACAGGGCCTCGACACACCACTCTTTTTTTTTTTTTTTTTTTTTTTTTTAAACAGGGCCTTGCGGTCCTGGCTCGTTCTATTCTGGGGAGTGTCAGTACGGTTCCTATCACCACACCACTCTTGAAATGTGAAAAAGACAAAAATGTGACGGGTGCATCTGCCCATGTTCTAGCAGGAAATTCATTCTCATTTTGCACATTTCGAGAGTGGTGTGGCGATGCACGCATTCGCTATCATGCAGTATCCTGCGTACGGCTATTTCTGACGGGAGAATGATTCAGTCGTCTGCCAATAATAACAGCACTTGGTTTTCTTTCTCGCCAATCTGACGACAGGAATATGCATAGGGTCGTTACCCCTCAGCCTTCCATCGGAATGTATTCAGGCGATATTTCAGACCGCATACACTCACAATTCGTTTTTGACTCTTTCCTTGACAAAACAGCGAGACTGTTCGTGAATCCGGAAGCTCCGAGATTCGTCACAGAGCCTTTATCCCTCGGACCCTTTTTGTTCTTTATTTTAATAACACAAACAATCCATTTCCCTCGGACTTCCATTGGACTGTATCCAAGCGATCTTGCAGGTCGAATACACTCATAATCCCTTTTTCTTTTTTTGCAAAACGAAGAGACTCGTCAAAGGGCCATTGCCCCCCCATGCTTTTCTCGGAATATCTGGGGCCGATTGTTCAGGTTCCGTACAATCATAGGGCCTCGCGCCACCACTCGGCACAGGAATAAAAGACAAAAAAGACGAAAGGAACACAAAAGACAAACATCTGAAAATGTACCTTTCTAGGTTCTAGGGAAATATTCGTTCTCATTAAGGAAATTTGGTGAGTGCTCGAGTGAGGCCCATAATGATGGTGCTCGTGTTCCTTTTTTTTTTTTATGGTGATCGTGTTCCTGTTTTTTTTTTTTTTTGATGTTCCCCCTTTATTTGTGCTTTGGGTTTTATTTTCTTATGCAAATTGCAATACGTATTTCACGATGGTGCTCAGCCAAAAGTTGCTTCCATAGCCTTGGACCATAACTTTTTTTTTTTCCCAGATTTTTCAGATGTCTTCTTCCTTTTTTCTTTTGCCTGCTCGTACGACTGGTACGTGGCCTCGTACCCCACCCCTTACAAATATATCTGTACGTTTCGTACGAAAAGGCGCTGTAGGGCCTGTACATGTACGTTCGGTTCAAGCTTGCTGTATCAATTTTCTCGCTGACCCATTATGCAAAGGGTACGCCCTTACCCTTTGCACATCCATCATCCATTTCATGATGGATCTTTCAGCTTTCCCCTGATTTCTTGCATCGGGTTTCAGCCTTTCAGGTTTTCTATGCACGTGCTTTCTTCGGGTTCAGTAACGTAGATGGTAGATACAAATAACATAATCCAGTTGGGGTACCCAGGATTCCACACGCTAACTGAAGGCTCGTCTACGACGATATACATACATATTCATGTTGATGAATGAGCTTGTAGGACTGCGTGATCTTCAGCAGCACTCCCAGTATCTGCTCAAGGACCTGTGCCAAGGACGAAAGCAGCCGCGCCATTGTCACCACCCACATCCCTTATTAAATCAACAAATGATGAAGAGTTCAAATGACAATGGGTACAACAACCGTACGGGTCGTCCCTTAGGAGAACTTAAAAAAAAAAAAAAACAAAGAACGAAAAACAAGGACTCCTTACTGTAAGCAGCGCTCATCCCTGAGACCTCTGCAACGAGTCTGCATTCGACGCATGTAGCTAGCACAAAATCTGCAGACACTGTTTTTTCATATATATCGTATTAATATATACATCGTTTAATGTCCTCTTCTCCCTCTCTGCCTACGGTTTACCAGGCAGCTCTGTTTGACAATATATATATATATATATATCGTCAAATATATATATATATATATATATATATATATATATATATATATATATATATATATATATATA